AAAGGAGTATGTCACTCAAGTGCACAGAGGACTTTCGCGGCACCTGTGGCAGGCCTGAAATTAATTTAGCATGAGAAGACAAAACTAGGACGTCTCAGCATGGAGGTTATCGTACTCTCTATATACTACATCAGACACCTTAATGAACTCGAAGATGAATATCGCTTGGGTGGTACATAGAATTTGCTGCGTACGGCCCACATATATCGACGATCATTCAAACGAAAACTCCTGAAGAATTAAACCAGCTTAGCTTGTGCAGAAATGAATTGGTCGAGCTGCCTGTCCTTATTTGTATGACACTTCTACACATTTGTCAACGGGATTTACATTTACGTCTCTCGAAGCAACTTTTTGCCGATAAATAAACTCATGAAAATTCGGCGTTTTTTATTTAGCGTGCTCTGTTCAATGTGAGGTAAAATATCCTTTGTTTTGAGCCTGGGAGCTGCCGCTTTCTGGGATGATTACGAGATGGATAACACTGTCACCGGAGATCTACACCGCTGATAGAATCACCTCATCTGTAAAATAAATACGTACCCGTTTACTCAGGAGTATAACATTATCATTGTTCTACCCACACTAATGCGTTCGACTTCCGTTCTAAATCCCGTCCATTTTCATAAGGGCTATAGACAGTTCGTCGTAGGTCGGTGGAATTGGCCTGTGAACGTCATTGTGCTCGGATCACTGCACATGAAAGCTGTGTGTTCCCACTCTCCCTCAGACGTAAGTCTCAGGATGTTCATACGCATTCTGAGCCATTGGGAACAGATGCTTATGTTGGGAGAGATTCAATAGCCTTTTAAAAGTATTCTCCCGGAAGACCCAAAGTTTTTCAATGACCAAATAAGTTGTACACCGTCCAGGGCATTGTCTGATTGCATATCTTATTTCCTAAAGGATGATGGGTTACTTACGCGGCATTTCAGCATCAGCTACGATTAGAAAGTGGAAAGCTATTGGTCCCCTTGGAACCTTTCCACCACACTGCGGGATACGCTCTTTGGACATTGTCCCTATGCGAGCTTGATAGACACAGAGGCCAATCACTAGTTCCTCGTACCCTCTGCATAACCACCAGTGTGAGACCAAGAGAGGAAACGTTGATGTGACGGTATATTTGATCGATGCAATGTCAGATTACTTAAGGTGAGCTTGTTTATCTGAACTGGCGACGACGAACTCATTCACCAGGACATTGAGAGAGTGTGAACCATGAAAGGAGTGGTAAATAAACCGCTTGGACATTTGCGATCCGCTCTTATTACCAAAGGGTGGGCAAGCAAACTGGAAATAAGAAAAATGCACGATGGGCCTTTGTGATGCTTTATGCCGACGCAGGTGTTTGATTACTGGCCTTGACCGAGCCAACCGGTGTGAGTTTTTCATTCAACATAAATTTGCATTTGGGTCATAAAATTGTGGTAAGGAGCAATGGTTTGGCTTTTTTAGCGCCTAACAATCAGAAATCACTGGAAAGCCAATATTTGCTACTTCCCATTTTCGTCACTATATGCAGTGATGCTCATAGATTATTCCACGGACGGGCTGTGTCTAGGTTGAACACGTGGTTGAATTCATTCTTCTCCACCCTCAACTCACAGGGGGCTTTTGACATCACATGTCACTCGGTGGTTATGGTTTGGTGTATAACATTCCTGGTTATGCTTGGTAAAGGGTTGGCCGAATCCTAAACACCCGTATAACATGATTTTACAGTGGAAGTTGGCTGAACAATTCGAACTAGACAATGCTAAGCGGGATCTACCTGGATACTTCCTCCAATTTCGTCGACGGACATCTATCATGAGGTTCTGTGGCATAGAAGACTTGTGCTTTTGATGGGAAACCAAACGTCAGTGGTGTAAAATATCCGTGTGATAGGCGTTTGGGGCGTTGAAATAAGACAGGTACGTGGTTACGAATTGCTGCCGGCCTCCTGCCAGTGGGAGAATGTATCGTGAACAATTTCATTCTTGAATGTAGAAAATGTGCTACCTTCTGCGTCAACATTGATAATACAGTGAACAATAGTCGTTTTTTCTCTGAAGGGTAGCCAGTGGCTAATTTGGAAAGTTGCACTTGACGCCAACATGTGCCGAAAACGCAGTTTACCGACTGCGTATGGTTTGGACCTAAAGGCACAACATGAGGAATGAATAAACTGGGTAAAAACGTTAGACGTTAAATAGCACTCTTTCTTTCCAGCCCTTAGTGTCAAACGACATGGAACTGTAGCCCTAGCACGTCTACCTCAGATTCAGACTTGTAGTTTGAGGATAGAGAACCACCGACCGGGATTAATCATTTGCCGGCAGACAAAAGTGCTTACCCGGTCCTGATCTGAACATGTCAACTGATAAGAAGAACATCACATATCCTGAGGAGTGGTTTCAAGAGCTGACAACGTGTAAACTAGTGTGCTGAGGAGATGACTTTCGTCGTTCGCATTTGTGCCCCCCTGCCATGTTATGCGAGATGAAGTAAAAGAGATGAACCAGGTCCGAAGACATTTCTAGGAATCCTGTGTTGCATGTGTTATGGAGGAAGACGATGTCTTCTAGAATCTCCAAAGAAGTCTGGAAAGCCTGAAAAGCCTTTACAGCCGTGTCGAAAATTCGAAATAAACCCCTTGATCTTATGTATCGGGCTAAGATTGGCTGAAGGGTTCTCTAGAAAGGTGTGAAACCTTCCAAAGCCATCAAAAATGCAAATAAACGGTTAATTTTCGTAGATACTGGTCCAGACAATAAACCTCTATCGTTTTGCCTCTTCTTCCTGTTTTCCAGGACCCAGGTGCTCATCAAGGGCAAGATCTGAGACCGTTGTTTAAGAGTCCACTTCCATGTAGTTACATTTGCATGACTGATTCGCTTTTCTGTCATTGACATGGAAAAAAGACGTTCAGCTTCTGACATCGTTCTTCGCAGATCAGGTTAACCACCACAAGGATCATATGATTGTCCCCTTCTAAACTCTTTCAAGAAATTCTGAGTCGCCTTTCAGAGCAGAATTCGCGGCTTCTGCACAATTTTCTCGATTAGATCCCAACATAATATCTAAAAGATGGTGAGCACACCCATAATAATCTTAGAAAACATTCTGTATAATACCCAAAAGTTTCTAAAAGTTTGAGCTGCGACGAAGCCGTTTTCAACTTTTGATCCACAAGCACTCCTAGGTCACTGTGGCTCAACACACCAATAAAGTATTCGATGCATTTTGTACGCCTAATGTGAATACCCGCGCTACAAACTGCGTCGATAGACATAAACTATTTCCTTGTCCAGGTTTACAAACTGACCCTATCTATCCAAAGCGCACGCTCAGACCCACTATCCCTAGTTTCTTCCTAGATTCTTGCATCATCAGCGTCAAGAGACGAAGTGGATTTCGCGGTGATTTGCAGTTAATTTACTCAAAGAATGAGTAACAAGGGACCCATAACTGTGTCTTGTGGTACTACACTTTGTACCAACTTTCTATCGGAAGGTTATGGATTGAGGTTTACTTTCCGTTTCCTACCATTAAGGAACTTTCTGATTCACTTAATTAGATTGCCAGTGACTCCGAAACTTCACAGTTTGTTGAACAACCTGGAATGACGTACCCTGTCGAAACCCTCACCTGTGTTAATGGAACCGATGACTAGGTGTCCTATCATCTTTAGACCAGACCAAACTTCCTGTGACTGTAAGTTCATCAAACAAAAAACTGCGAGCCATTAGCGAACGGGACAGTAAATTTGCTTTCTAGGCAAACCGAAAGGATTCACTGGACTACTGATCCTGGTATTTTAACTGAAGCACTAGTTAAGCTGAGCTGTCTGTATTTTAATGGTTGCTGTCAAGACCGCGTCATGGATAGGTGTGATCACGATACCCTTCGAGTAACAGCAAAGCACGCTCTTATCCGTGCCATATGTTTATCTCCTATGTTTAGTAATCGAAAAAATCCGCCCACGTATTCTTAGTCTTCTTCAAACATTTCTCACAGTTGTCCAATCTATCAATATTACTGAACCAGAGTAAACCTCGAACTCCATATTGAAACACTGTCAATCACAACAACCTCCTGGAAGAAAGATGCTGAAAATGGGCTTTACTTGTTGGGAATCAATAAGTTTTCGATCCATATTTCTGCTGTATAGATGAGAAGAAATCGATGGTCTTTCAAAAACGCGAAAATCCCAATTTTCGTGAAGATAGTCGTCGACTGCGTGGCTACTTTAGCAATCAGTAGCCATTAGTTACCTGGAAAAAACTTCACATTTCCTTTCATAAGTGCATTTGCATTCGAGAGAAAGGCCATTTAACACCATTTGTTTGATTGCTGAGTTTACAGTTCAGTTTCGTGGATGACCTTGAAGAAAGCTAGTTTCTGTTAGCTACCCTTGAGGTCACTAATGTAAGGTGAGCTGGGTTTTCGGAAGAGTCTCTGTTTTTCAGACCAATTAGACACTGACAAATACCGTATTTTCAGTCTGGAATCACGCATCAATTAAATATCATTAACCTAATTGGGCTACCCTGGATAGCAGTTGCTAACGCGTAAAACAAAGTGTTAGAAGCACGTTTCAACAAATAAGATGAAAAGAAGAAACATCTGCACTAATAAGATTATATCGTGCATCAGATCACTAAGATTTGGTGCACAGCCATTCAACGCGGGAGTGACCTTGAGACGAAAAGCATTGCTCTAGCTCTGCGTTTGTCTCACTTGCCGCGCTGAGCGCTCATGGTTTGGCACAACAGTAGGTGTGCAGAAGGCTGGAGCGGTTCGCGAATCTCTTGGAGCTGTGTTTAGAAAAAAGCTACTATTGGGAGGAAGCGCACCCTGTTTTTTCGGTTTGGTCAGATCCCCATCAGTAATTGAGGACACCAAAGCTAACCCCACATTAGGATATTCAGTGTAAGGAAATCGACGCAAACTACATAGGTTAGCTCTGGTAAGTACTTCGCAGCCTCAAGGTCGTTCGACGTCTCCCGGTTCTCATGACATCGAAACCTAGCACTTATATTTGGTTTCGCATACTTCTTGAAACGAGTAATCTTTGTCTGCCATGTACTTACCTTGCAAATGCATCATATGTAAGTTACCTTCTTAATTATTCCAGCCGCTATCATGATGTAGCTTATTCAAACAAACCATGATACTAAATGAGTTCAAAAAACTAACCTTGGTATACAAGGTTCATTCTGCACCAAACGATTACTGTACGCTGAAGGAGGTTGAAGGCATGAGCAATGTAGCGCGCTGTAGTTGTTTACATTCATTCCGACTAATGTGTACACAGTTCAGACAAGACTAAACATTGTCATATGCTTTAAACTCCAACGCAGAAGTGCACTGATTTTGAGTAGCCTGTGTGTTTCTACATCAGCTGGGCACTTGTACATGTTTACGTCGCTCACATCCTGTACGCTTCAGGATGCTGTCGGTTGGTTATACTTTGCCTTGTATATCACTCTGGAGTTTCTATTTTTTTTCTATTTACTGCTGCATTACTGTGAATCCTACAAATATTCAACACTGCATAGCAATCCGGTTTCCTTGGGTATCCAGCTACTGATAGAAAATAGTAGAACTTCATATACGGATAGGGCAATATGCGAAGAATGATGAGGACAGACAAATTACGTGAACTTCTTGACATATTTATACGCGGACTGTTCAAAAATTGTGAAAACAGGACTGGATAGCAATACTTAGGTCCACAGGGATCTAACCCATACCATTAGTTATGTGGAAGTAGTTGTCATCCTATCAAGTTTCGCGATTGAGCGTTCGGGTTGTTTTTAGTACATTTTACGTCTATGCAAATCACGACAACTACACTGGGAGCATGTCGACACCATAGTAATACAGTGCAAAGGCAGACCAATCACTTAAAATTTAGGTGGATCAGTGTTCGCATACCGATGGCGTAATGGCACTAATTTGGTGTATGGTCTCACACAACGTTAAGTCAGTCGTATCTATACGTTGTTTTGTGGCCACTATAGTACTCCCGCATCACGTGCTTCAGTCTCACATTGCAGCGTCCGTTCACCACTTCACCACACTTGTCAGCTCTCAGAGTCTAAAGTAAAGAAGCAGTACTCTGCTTTGCTATCGTGGTGAAAACCGTGAAGAGGAAAAAATGTGATCGGTGAGTAAATCGGTATTCAATCAGTCAGTCAATGTGGTTCATCTCTTTCCCCACTGCACAATGTCTAGTACTCTAACTTGCCGTGTTCTTAGTTAGAACGTGTCGAGACCATCCAGTTGTTCTCTGCAAAATAAACTTGCAAGTCATTCTAGCATTTAATTGCCCACCCTATCTACACATCTGCATAGCTAACGTTTGCATCTTGATCCATGGTGCGACAGCCTGAGTTGTTACGCAGTAATATCAGACTACCTGTTAATGCTAATTTATTGGCTGTTTAAGATCTCACACAAGTAACAGAAGTGGACGGACCATGCAAAAAGATGCGCCACACTATACAGCCACGTTTCTTAATGATAGATTGAAAAAAAGTTGAAATATGCAATGAGGGAAAGTAAGGGGAATCAGAGAAGTTAAGTGTTTAAAATATTGAAGATGACAATAACTGCATTCATCTCCACCTTTGCCGTCAGTTTCTAGCCATATCACCAAGATTCTGCAATTGTCGATTTTTCCTTACACAGGTCAGCCACATTCCGAGACTTGTTGAATTGTTTTCATGTTGTAGTTCGACCGCTTCGGTGTGGAGAAGCAAGCAGTGACGACTTGCGCAACATGTGTCCCAACCACGTCTGTAGTCAAGGTTCGCAAGGTCCGCTGGCTTCTCTTTCTTACGTTGTGCTCTACGATTAACATTGCTAGTAGTATATCATGTTACAATCCAGTTGCAACCTGTTTTATCATGTGGATTTGATTTTTCTTGCAAGGCATTGTTTACTTTTTTTAAAAGCTGAAACAAGCACAGCAGACCCGTTCATGCCTCGAAAAATATTCATACTTCTGTAATAAGGTTTATTAAAGTGTAGACGGATCTGGATGTTAGCTGGTAATCGTACTCTTTCTTGTATCGTTATTCTTCAATCCATATTTACTTTTGAGTTTCAAAGTGTAATTTAATGTCCTGGATGATTGTTTCAAATGGGCAAGTTGTTCCAATTTTCCTACTTGCAATGTTTTACTTCGTTTCAGTCATTAGTTTATCTCACTTTTTTGTGATGCTACCTATAATTTGCATTTAGGTAGATCATGCATAACCCGAATAACTGTTTTTTTTCTAATGATGCATCTGTCAAGCTCAGCTACTATTCTTGTGGCGCTACTATAGTGCAAGTGTATTCAATTCGAATGTTACTTCGACTGATCTGTGTTCATAAATACCTTCATGTTCAAAAGCCTGGCAGCGTCCTCCAAACAGTTATTAAGTGGAGTACTACCTATATGGCATGAATGCTACGTGTTAACTGGAGTATGAGTAAGTCATAAATTCGCTGCATCGAATCTATCATATTCGGGCTAGTGCACTAAGCAACTGCCTTCGTTAAATATGTTGGGTTAGCTATGCTTCTTGACTTCTCAAACCTCCGTAGTTGTACCTGTCAATTTAAAGAACTTTATCAGTCGTGCTACTTCTAATCATCACGTAATAGATATTTAACTACGCATTACACAAATCTGCAGGTATTTCTATTTTCACCTCATTACATGTTTGGATAAAAAACCAGTATTTGAATAAAGATCAGTTAAAGAAAGCCTCAGAATGGTCACGTCATGATATTGCATCAGCCCACAAACTTACTGAATACTGACATAAATTTTGTGTAAGAACCATGGTGTTCTTCAGTGCATTCCTTAAAATGTCAAAGAACCAGTCTAAAAACTTAATTGACCCAGATTCCAAAGACTTATATTCATGCAAGTGTACTCACTTTATATTTTTCTTAATTCGATGGGGGATTCGCTTTTTTCACTTATACTCTTTTGCACAGTCTTACTGGTTTCCGTATTTCTTTAACATTCTCTTAGTAATGTTTTCAAGAGTCTAGACGTGAAATAATGCGATTTCCTTCATAGTTTCATGCTTGTCAAAAATAGAAGTAAAGTTAACTTGAAATGCTGAGAATGGATATCATTGAGAGACTTTATTGTCATTAGATCAGATGACTACATTCACCGCTATGCCAGTGATGGTCAACTTTCATCACTTTCCTGGAACCACCCTCCTCAATCAGTTAACCCAACTGCAAAGCATTGCGACTGTTTATTCAAGCTTTCTACAGTTACAGCTAAATGTATGTCTAAATGCTTTCTGATCTTTCAAAATAACTCGTAGTATTCAAAGTATGATCCCAACCCTACAAGAAACATGTGTTGAATGTTCGTGCATCTCCGATATGGATAGATGATTCTGCGCTTTGGATCTAGGATTTCAGCCAGTAGGTCATAGACTCGCACCGCTTTCCATCTGAGATCTTAAGAGCCAGGTAGTACCACTAGAGCACAACTGATACATAGGGATTATTGCTCACTGCACGAATGTTCACATAGTCTCTCAGCACCTTCGAACTTTTTTCTAGTGTCTGATCTTTTTCCACTAATCTTACTTAACCTTAGAGTTTCCTGCCTATTGAATTTAATTAGTATTCCAGAAACCTTTCATTAATCATTGTAATACCGCGTCCTCTTAGTTAAAGTTGATTATGGTCATCTGACAGATGAGGTGTGTTGTTCATATACACATTTTTAAGAGTATCCGCATCTATTCAGTAGGCTATTTTGATCTCGTGTTGAGATATATACCATTCAGCCCAATCATAACATTGTTCAAACAGTTGTCTTTCTTGCTTCTCTCTTTCTATTTCTACTGTTTGGTTTTCTATTGTCTTATTGCAGACCTCACGTATGCTTAAGTGGATTATTTGCCATGTCGGATTTGTTCTGTAATGCGGTGGATGTAAAGAATTCGACTGGTGTAAAGAATAATAATGATAATCATTCTACTTCAAACCCAAACTCTGAGCTATTGAACAACATAACTTTTGGCAACTATAATGATGATAATTTTATTCGAAGTCAATCAGGAGTTAAAAAGCCTCGACTATCTGAAAAACTGATATCACTTGCCACCCCAACGAATGGCTTCAAAGATGCCTATGGTACATACGGTCCCGACAGCTTACCAGAAATTCATGAGGAAACCAAAGAAATACGCTTATGCTTTAATTCAGAGTTGAAGCAGGCGTTAGAAGACAAATTAACTAAATATTTAACTTTTATTCAAGCAATTGAGAAAAAACGGATAATTTGAAAGAAGAGGTTAGTCAACTAAATGTCGTATGGATTTCATGGAATCTTCAGCAAAAGACCTGATGAAACTAATTGATGAACGAGTAAGTCCCACCTTCAAATCTCATAACTTTGATGTGACTTCCTTTTGTTGTCGAGGTATATATGATTAGAAAAATTAGTTTTTCTACTAAAATGTCATTAGTTTTCCTAGATAAGCAGCTATGTTGTGATTTATTTATTCATGCCTATGAGTTTTTTCGCACTCTCTTTGGAATAGATACCTTTGCCTACGCCAACAGATGGTGTTGGCCAACAAAGAAGTCTCTCTTCTCAAGCTCCTCGTCTACCCCTACCTCATCTAGCTGTCTCAACACCAGATCGCTCTCTCCAAACAGTCAATCCGTTGAACCTTCAGTCAACTTTGAGTTCTAATACTCCTCCTGCAGCGAATCAGCCATCTGATTCTGCTTCATCCAAATTATTTTCCATTGACGCTAAGAGCAGTTCTGAATTAGCGTGTCTGCCTCAACCTACTCATGCTACAATTTTAACCATCCAAGTTAATGATACTATTGACCTAACTTCAGATACTAGCGTAGAAAATGCCTTCGGAGAACGACTTATTTCGGGTTCCGCCAACACCTCAGATGTGATGGTTTACCCTAGGAAAAGTCGAAAACAAAATATGCAGAGTCTCACTTGTCTTTCGAGTAAGTTAACGTAAATATCATTTCTTGAATTTTTATTTTGCCAAAACAGAAGTTAAAATTGCAATAAATGTAGGAGTTTAAAGTCTAGGTCGCCGCCACTTAAATGATTAAACTGACGGTCAGTGAGTTCATAGGTTGCCTTTATGCGTTATTCTGATCACTTTTTGGTTTTTTTTACTTCCTCCAACAGTTCACAAAGCAATCATTGTTTTTGAAACAGTTGGGACTTTTTTTTTACATATGCTTAACATCGACATAGAATACTGATAAGAGTAAGGACAAATTGTAAAAGGTTGAGAAATGGCGAAATCTAGACAAAGCATCGATCTGTAGAAAGTATGATTGCTCGTCTAAGCTCTTTCGGAAACTAACCCTCCCGGTAAAAAAATTTACGAAACAACCGAAATTAACTCAAGGCGATATATTTCAAATATTTCCCGTTTTTTACTATTGAGTGTCTGTTGGGTCTATATGCTGCTTCTGTATGACATTTAACGTTGATGTATGTGTGTGTTATCGCCTCGATCCGCTGGCCATTTTCTAAATAATGACTTTAGCTACTACTCAAAATATGTTCTATCTCTCCCTCAGCTAGACTGCTTTGCTGAAGTTCACATAGAACTCTTATTTCATGATTCAAAAGTTCATTGATTTTTGTTAATCAGTGGTCGTCCCCTTGTATTGTTTCTCTGTGATGACTGCAAGCAGCTGGCAATTTGCAACTCCCTGCGTTTTATTATTTTAGTCAACTATCTCCAAACATTGCTTCCTACAACTAAAAGCTTGAATACTTAGCCATTCTTTATATCATTTATTTATTGTGTTGAAAGCCTTTTAGGATGCAACCATTAATACTGTACATTCAAGCAAATAACTGATACGTCTTAATGACAGGCTATTGACTGTCTACATTTGTTTAAAAGTCTCATTATATTTCGAATTGACACGAGAATGATCATGACGTTTTTGTGATTTGAAGATCGTTAACTCTTTCTCATATCATGACCTTATACACTTTTCTTCGTCATTTCGTGTCTGACCATTCTCATGTTAGAGATGAATAAGACATCGAATGATATTAATAATACAAATTTAAGAGAAGGCTTAAGAAATAGAAGTAATTCTCTCCAAAACTCCGTGTTGTAGAGGCTGTTCTTGATGTTATCTTTTTGTAAACATAACATACACTCAACAGCCTTGTGCGCATTCGTGCAATAGGCAGCAAGCGACACCTATGGTGTGAATCCTGACTGCCCAAACCTAGGTAGGTGGAGCGAGTTTCGAATCAGTGACCCAACGGTTCAAAGTCACGTCATCATCAAGGTCAACATAGGACCAGGCATTACTGCGTAAGTCCAAGTTGCCACATTCCAAATCAGCACATCAAGTAACAAGGCAGTGAAATGAAAGATAAAGAAAGGAAGAAAAATCGGTCAAAAGAAGTAAAAAGTAGTAAAAGAGAAGAAGGAAGAATGAGAAAATAATGAAGATAATATGTGTATACATCTGCGCCACTGATATTGGTTCTAAGGCATAGCACCTAGAGTCTCGAACTACTAGTTCCTTTTGTCCTGAGGACCCCAACCGGCTGGTATGCATCGTTCTACATGGCTCAAACGAACAGTCAAGGACTTCATGCATTGATGCCATGTTTTGGTCTGACCGTTCCAAGCCTTTTTGCAGCCTGAACCTACTTTGGCCAACATTGTTTGACGAGGCAGACGATAGTTAGGTAGGCGTAACACACGTCTCAACCATCTTTATCGATGAAGGTTCACAACTGTTTCAGCTATTTCACATCCCTAAACCAATGAACCACAGCTCTTTCTGTGTCAAGTATCAGAATGGTACAGCTGACTTCTAATCAACAGAATATTGGCCTATCAAGATTACTATTGATCAGACTAGTTTGGTTTCTGTTTGATTTCTGTTGGAGTTTCATATGGTGTGGCTCATTTACCCAAAAAAACCCCACTTCTAAGCAATGGGTTCTCAAGGCTAACTCCACGCATTTCACCCTGACCACCCGGGTAGGATATCATAAACCCTCACAGATCAAGTATTTTTCACCAGGTAGTTGAGTTAGATCGCATTAACAGTTGGTACTAGTGGCTTAGATTACCACTCTTTTCTGTTTTAGGTAGGCCTGATTGGGCACTTAGTCTTTACTCATCTTCCATACAAACTCAACAAGAAACTGTACTCCCCTTTTCAATGTTTTATTGATCGCTCAAGAGTTTCAGCTCAGGTATAGTTCTATTGCTTCTCATCATAAAATTAAAATGATGTGTCTGATAATGCATCCCATGGTGTCATTTCAGTTCTCTGTTAGTCGTTCAGTAAGATCAGACAGGTTATGGCGCACACAAGATGTTTTCTCAGAGCAAAACTGAAATTCAGAGTAACTATATATTTCTTTTTACATAACATTATGCTGTTTTAACAGTTTGGTTGTTCAAATAAGTGCATATGTAGTTACAGAAATCAATGTACTCTAGCTAAGATGCTACAGTAACGATAGTGATATTGAAACACTGTTTGTATATGCTACGTTATGATGCACTGTCTAGATATTTGAGCTTCTCTTAACAGTCACACAACAAAGATGGATTGGCGAAGGAAATATTCTTTTCGATAACTAAAACACTATAAGTCTGAAAGAAGTCTGTGATTAATTAATAGGGTCATGTGGTTACTATAATAATGACCAACCTCATGTTTATCACATGTTGATTGTGCTCCTAGCAGTAATTGGATGTTTGCATTATTCATCTCCAACTATGAGGTACCACCATATGTACTGATGCATGGAGTAAGGGTGCAGCTTTTACCTTGGGGTAGTCAGATCAAGACAAGTCTGAGTTATGAAGATAAGTATAGGCTTTCACTGTACGCGACCAGTGGTTAGACACCCTAGGTAGGTTGGTTTAAAATACACGGCAATTTCGAAACGTCCAGTATTTAATATTTTCTCTAATTCTTATGGATATCGCCTTTTACTAGGCAGGTATCTTTTGCTGAGTTGCTGCTCATTAGCCTAAGCACTTGATGTCTAGTCAGTTTGGTTCACTGGTCCGAATCCCACTCAACCTAGCAAAGGGTAGGTAGTCAGGTACTATCAAATACCCCGTATATCTCGCCTTACTGTCTTCTGAGCGCAGCTCGGCGACGGCAGTATCACAGCTGCTTTCAGTGAGAAGCTCTGTGAACAGTTAATGGAACAAGATAATGTCACCCATCTGAAAGAAACTTGACATCATCTCCAGTCTCCTGTTAAAGACCATAACTGACCCTCGAGAAGAGGTGAAAAGAGTCAGTGGGTCTCAACAGTCTTCATAATATTAGATGTACTTGAATCCTAAAAAGATAGAAAAGGCAGCAGTAGACAGCTGATAAAACTTATCAAGGAAACTAAAGTGGAAAGTTTGATGGTTAGGGAGACTATAGAGGACATTGATGGGCCCGGGTTTCATTCCCAGGAGATACAACTGAAACGTTGGACGGAACACTTTGGTAAACAGTTCAACTAACCACTAGCTAGTCGTCAGTTACCAGCTATCCGGTCAGATGCAGAAAGGAACACTGAGATATGGCAGTCGAAAATGCTGAAACGAGGGAGCGCAGCAGGTCTGGATGGACTAGCATCGCAGGTATTTAAGGATGGTGCTAAGTCAAGTTAGCTGAACTATTAACTAATGCATAGAAGTCAGATATGATCCCCTCTTATTAGTCTCAATCACCGATTAACCTAGTCTTCAAGAAAGGAAACAAGTCCTATTGTGATGACTGCAGAGTATTCAGCTTGACGAATATAGTGTCTAAGATTCCAGATTCTATAATCACTAGACATCTGAGTGGAACTCGAGAACGACAAGCCTTAGAGAATCAGGAAGGCTTCAGATCTAACTGTGAATGTGTCGACCATATGTTCACACTTTGCCAGGTTTTGGAACACTGGTGCCCAACACTAGCAGTATTTCTCGACCTGAAAACGGCTGTTGATTCAGTCGACCAAGAGGTATTATATGAGTGTCTGTCACTGAAAGGAGTACCGACTAAGTACATCACTCTGTTGAAGGTTCTGTACTTGAAAACATGTCTAGGTGTTACGGTTTATGGTGGGTTATCTGGTAAATCGTGTACGTCAATCAGTATCTATCAATTGTGTCCACTCTCTCCATTCTTGTTCAAATTTATCATACACGTAATTATGGATGCTTGCCTCCCGTCGTCTGACTACAGGGATGGACTTTGTAATAGGAGACTCTTTAGTAAGCCCACAGGATACAGACGACATAGTCTTGTTTAGTGATGACGCTGAAAAGATAATAATTATAGTAATAACAATGATTCACTTTATTCCAAACAATTTGTGGTACAATTTGGAATTCTCAGCGTAATATAAATTGCAATAACAACAAAATATAAGTATATACATACTACTTTGCAGCCTTTCGAATTGTTTTATTATAAAAATTTAAGTTATGTGAAGAATATTAAAAACGAGAAAATTTTGCATTGTAAGTTAAATTATTGAAATGAGATTTTTAACTGTCACAAAGTTGATGTGTGATTTCTGTTCTAACACTTTTTTCCTCACAAAATATACGTGCAAGGTAAGGTACAGTCGAATTCTTATACTTAGCTGTACGAGCATACAGTCTTATGTAGTTTCTCCTTGTCCTCCCTGAGGAGATACATGGAGAGAGCTGTAAATGAAGTGGATGCTCACTGTCAGTTAAAATTTCTGTAGCTAGTAGCTTGCAGGAATTTATATGTCGATCAACTACAGTGTTAATCAGTTGAGCCAGAGACACACCACTCACCCTGCTGACGGTCTTCAAAGCCCTACGCAACATAACATAGTCCTTTTTAAGAAGACCAGGAAAGATTAATGGGGAACAATATAGAAGAATAGGTAAAATGCAGGAATTAATAAATTGTAAAAGAAGCAGTTGAGTTATACCAGAAAGCCTCAATTTCTTTACGTAATAAGTTAAACGAAAGATTTTTTTACAAGTCAATAAAATATGGGACGACCAACAAAGGTCAGAAGTAAAACGCAACCCAAGATAGTTCACACTCGATTTACTTTCTGCAGAAATACCATTGATGCAGCAGGCGTCATGAGATTTAAGCAGCTCACATAAGTCTTGTTTACGCCTGAGGCTAAAATTAACGGTCTGACATTTAGAGGGGTTTAGTTTGAGACCATTTGAGAGAGACCATTTACCAACTTCAGACAAGAATTCATTTAATTTCGAGCAATCCAAAGAAGAGTTTACTGGAATAGAAATCGTCAGGTCGTCAGCATACTTGATAAAATTAGTTTCAACAGAATAAGGCAAATCGTGCAAAAAAAGGAAAACAGAAAAGGAGAAAGTACAGCACCTTGAGGCACACCAGCTTCAGTAAGCAATGAAGTGGAGCGCATCCCTTTATGAATAGTGTACTGTTTCCTTTCAGAAAAATAAGAATGCAGCCATTTTGTAACCCATGGATCAGTGTGAGCTATGGCAAGCTTATTTAACAAAAGTGGTCTAGGAACAGAGTCAAAGGCTGATGAGTAATCCAAAAAGGCACAACGGACATACTTAACACCTTTGTCGAGACTAGAAACAATATTATGATGCAAGACAGTAGCTGCATCTAAAGTACTCCTCCGGTGTTTGTAAGCAAACTGTTTTGGATCTCTGAAGGCCATCAATGAAGGCTCAATCACAAGCAGAAGTAATTTCTCCATTGTCTTCAGAAAAGGGGAAGTTATAGCGATGGGTCGAAAAGTAACATCTGATCCAGAAGATGGCTTAGGCACAGGTACAATTTTTATCTGCTTCCAAGCAGTGGGTATTATGTTTTTAGAGAACGATACATTGAAGATATCTGTAAGTGGATGACACAAAATATCTGCACATTTTCTAAATATGATACTAGAAACACCATCAGGACCTAAGCTTTGGGAGGGATTCAAAGACTTTAGACATTTAAATACATCATTTGTATTGAAACCTGGAAAGCAGCTATCCACTTGATTTTGCACATTAGGAAGGGTGAAATTAGCTTGCCGACGTATAAATGACTTGTTTAACGCACAGACATCCGAACGAGTTTGTGTTGTCATCTGTTTTTTACCAGTAAGCTCTTTAAATAATTTCCATATATTGGAAGAGTTCTTACACGATAAGAACTCGTTGTATATAGTATTCAGACGTTGTATTTCAGACTTAATTAGGCAGTTAAGCCTTTTAACGCCAGGGTGATCTCTCGCCTTATACAACCTTTCCTTTTCTCTCCGAAGCCTCTTGAGATGAGGAGAGGAAAGTCTGTCAAATCTCATGTAAATTGTTTCAGTAGGGCAGCAGATATCGAGACAGAATCTGAGATAGCTTGTGATATTGGTAATAGTGTTGTCTAAAACTTCATCAGCAAATATATCCCAGTCCGTTTCTATAAGCATGCTTCTCAAACGTAATATATTTTCTTGTGAATAGCATCTGTATTGAACTTTCCTTGAAAGGTATGCAAAAGCTTTCTTGTATAATTTTCCGTACACTTTAGGCAAAACACGAACGATACAGTGGTCGGAATTAAGCCCGTTTACGGGCTTCATATATGCCAGGTTCATTTGTAAATGCAAAGTCTAAGGTGTTGTCAAGACGAGTGGAAAAGTTAACCATATTTTTATGACCCAATGATAATAGAAAACTGTAGTCACATGAGTTAAAATCACCACAGACAATAGACAAGGAGTTTCCCAGAACCGGAGCAGCAAATTCAGTGAATTTATCAGCAAAAGTTGACAAATCTGAGAAACTGCAGTCAGGTGTGACATACATGTTTGTGATATATATGTATTTGTATTTGCTCAAATGTTTGGGACGACATTTGATGGTAATGCACTCAATTTTTTCGTTAGAGAAGCAGAAGCATACATAGTTGGAGGACGACCAGTTAGTACTAATAAATGTTGCTACACCACCACCACATTTCTTCTTCGAAAAGCTTCGATCTTGTCGAAATAATTTGAAACCATCTAAGCAGACTAAGTCATCATCATACAGATTATGAAGCCATGTTTCCTGCAGCATTATTACACCCGTGTTTCGATAAACATTTGTGGACAAGAGTGACTGAAGGTAATCAACTTTATTCGGCAACGACCTGCAGTTTGTGCTAAGTATTTCCGGAATAGTCATTTGATCTATGGTCATACGCTTCAGAGCTCGTTGCCAACCACCATGGTGCAGTCTTTTGGACATCTGCAGTGGCAATTTAAGAATGCTTGGGATGCGTTTCTGGCCACCCGAATGCCAACTATCGATCCAGGACTAGTTTTCACTTGTGAAGTGAAATGGTTGAGCGCGTTGGTCACTCTACTTAGTTGCTGACTTGGATCAACTCTAGTTTGTCAGTGACCGAAGAGACCTCGGTGCGGATGCAAAAGACTCGAGTGACTTTCACCAGCTTACGGGACTATGGCGCCATTGTTATATCCGATTGTCTGATAGGGGTTGACTCTACCGTGCTGTAGTTCACTGTTTTAATTTATGGCTGTGAAACATGGCTATTTAAGGTAGAGGATATGAGGCAGCTCTAGGTATTTGACCACCGTTGTCTTCACAGCACAGGTAGTGTACCGTGATGTCACCGAGTCAGTAATGTAGAAGTCATATGTAGAGTATTAGGGATGAGAGAAAAGCCAGTTGATTTTTTAGCCTTCGTTGGTTCAGGTACATGTCTAGATACGGTTCACTTCTTCTGACAGTGTTAGTCAAAGTACGTTCAGGAATGAACAAATAAGAGGTGGTTAGACTAAACCATAGCATAAGTCACTAAAGTATTTGAGCTGTTTAGAAGAATGCAGACTTCCCGATCGGGTTCTGTGCGACAGCCGAGGTCGTTGGTTCAAGACTTATTTTTCATCTTAGTTCATTCTTGCTTGATACGAAATGTGGCAACTTGGACCGTTATTGCCTGTCTCCCTATCTGTCTTACTATGCTACTGATTTGTGTTTTTGTTCGCTGTTTTCATTTCTTTGTTTGTTGTATCGAAACGTGACAGCTTTGTCTGGGACACTTACGTGTTGCCACACTTTGTGCATCTTTTTGATAACTACCATCGATTCATACCAAGATGTCAATGCCTAATGTCTGTATTTTATTTGTGTAATACTAGTCTTTGAGTTATCCTTAGTAAAAGCAGCTTTTTATCAATTCATGTTTAGATCCAAAGAATGGAATAATCTCTACTGTACATGCCCAGCCATCAGTTACATTTGCTACTAATGTCTCTAATCCAAACCAAACGTATTTTGATTTGTCCCAAGCCGGTCAAATTGTACCGGTTAGTCAAGTGGTTAATTCTTCACAAGTCTATTCATTACCTTTGTCTGTTATTCCTGATGTCCACCTACTCCCAACCGCACTTTTACCTCCGGTTCCGCCTCAACCAGCAACTAATACGCATCAACTGCCGTTGCAACCTGTTCCACAGTTAACTATCGCAGAAGCTGCTGAAGGTAAGTTTACGTAAAAGCCACTAGCTGACTTTGATATATTTGTATTTTGAGCAGGCACATACACTTTCATCATCTTGTAGTGTGTTACCTTCACTGAGGTGGATAGTTTAACCGTGGAGCTTTCATTACCTTCGTAAATAATGGCACTATTGGTAGTAATTTGGTTATGTTATGTGGGTCAGAATCTATCGCAAAAGCGCAGATGTGTCCACGTATTGTCTTCATCTTAGTTGTCATACCGAATTTCAGTATTCCATCAATCCTCACTGCTCGCTTTCGAATACTTTCCTCTTTATTTTTCATCTGATTCCATTTTCGCTTGATATGCTGATATGAGGTATGGCAATTTAGACCGTTATGCAGTAACGCCAGATCCCATGTTATTATTGACTGACTAACTTCACTACTGAACCATCCAATTCAGAGAGTGATACCGAAATCATTTCCACTTTTAGTGGGATTGCATTGTCTTTGTGGCAGTTCGTCATATGATAAGAAAATAAATGTCCACCAAGTGTCTCCTTAATTCACTTGGATCTTATCAAAGCATGACACTAATGCATGAAATCAAGCTATCTTAGCTGATCTGAGTATGAGGAAGTGTGTATGGATGGACATACAGATAAAAAAGACTTAGAACAAGCATCGGTTCAAGTTGCCACACTTCACAGCGTGTTTGAGGTCGAGACGTTAGGAATCAATAGTTGGGTGCGGTTGGTGATATGGTTAGAAAATGATTTTATTTGCATAGATGTACTGAGTCTTTATTGTCTCTACTCTCCTTATCTGTCTTAATATCACTCTTCTATTTATCTTCTCTTTGTGTTGTTTTTGGCAAGTTGTACCAACTTGTAATGTATATCTGTTCAAGGCTGTACATTGTTTTGTGTCTGTTACGTACTAGTGTCCATTTCCAGGACGAGATCCCTCTGAATTTACAATCCACTTGTGTTTATACAGAAAAGTGCTTAGATTGCAATGTAATGTACATAGAACAAACTTCCCGTGAAATCAAAATCACAAAGATGAACACCCAGGGGCTTCCAGTCGATCTTCTAGAAACCCAATAGAGCTGAAACAACTTGAAAACACTTCAGGCATAGGTCTCTTTACACACTACAATTTCAGGTCACAAGGTCTATTTTGACAATATCGAAAATATGTATAAAGGCTTTAGAAATGATAAAGAACGTTTCATAGCAAATCTCTTCACATAAAGTGGGATCAAAATTGTCTAGATAGGAATGAGGGAGTCAAACGTAGTCTGCATTGGTCTTGAACCCACCCCGACATACTGACCTAACCAACGTACATGCGATAAGAATTATCAAGGCTTGTGTACATACAAATCTCAATCTGTAATTCATACACTCTTCACACACAATACACCACATATGGACATCATCTTCATTCAACAATTTGACGGTACAGAATCATTCATCCAGGAGAACACTTATCATACATGAGCTTGGATATTGTAAATTCTGGTTTACTATAACTTTGATAAAGCTATTAGCATTGGGTGGGGGAACGCCAGTTAAAACAAATTTATTTTTTCACGTTCATTAGGTAGCACAAATATCATAAAGCTGTCCAGCATTTTACAAATTTTACTAATTCTTGATCCGTAGAAATCAAAATCTTTAGTTTCAGTTCTCACCACCACCACCAACAAGTATTCGATGTACCTGACACTTATTGCATTCAGTGGAAAGACAACACCTTCATGAAGATTCCACTTCTTAATTTAGTGTTGAAATCTGATACTTGTTCTTTTTCCAAACTTGAAAATGCTTCTATTTGTAAGTGAGAATAGAACTTTAGCACAAAGTTCTAGCTCGCCCTTCGTCTGAACTCGCCTCAAGAAATTAACATTGAAAGCAAGTATTAACTCACCTATACAACGCTGCTCTTCAGGAGAATAGACCATGCACACAATACGACTACTCGGCTAATATCGTATGCTCTGAAATTGATGTCATTACGGTTGCCTAGATTGGTTGGTGGACCTTGTCGTCTGAAAAATAAGTATCAAATCTTTAACTTTCACAAATCTCATTTGTTATCATTGTTATTCATTCTAATTTAATTCTTCGGCTGACGTAAATTACTACCATACCACCATCAAATACCTTTTGAGATATACTAGGCGGTGAAGTAATGATAACTAGCAATGTGATCGGGAAGTGTATTACTAATGTTTGAGTCCCGCGCCACAGGGTTTCACAAATTCTAAGTGAAACACCACCCTGCACATTTGAAGTTAACTCTTCATTCAAATGTATGATTATGTTTTTATTCTCCATTGTTGACAACTTACTGGAGTGCCACTACTTATTACCTTGTTTTCTTTCCAGGGGTTTGCTTACAGTGGTCAGTCACATACCCCAGTGGAGCTTTTGAACCTGCTGTTGCATATGAAATTTATAGCTATGCCTCATCAGAAGTGACTTTGGTCTCTCTTCAAACGTGTTTACCATGGAAAAAGGTGTGTATCACATTCTATAAACATACTCCTAAATGATTGATTGTATTTTCTGCCATCTTTTTAATGTCTCATACGCTTCATTCCGTAGTTTGTTTGACCTACCTGTTACTATTGTTTTCTGCCTTCTTCTTTCTCTCTCACTTATATGGTATTTATACGTTTTTGCCTGCTTGTCACCCGCTGTGTAAACTCGGTTTTACATTATGTAGAGTAGACATGCTTCTTGATTCATTTGGTTAGCGTTATCTCACAATACGACCGAGTCATTAGAGGTAGAGGTATGAAGGCAGATTGGGATGACAGTCGGACGGTAGGAATTGAGTGAGTGGTTGCAACCCGATCATTCGAATGTACCTCCACTATGCTGCCAAAATTTCCCTTCAAATCAATTAGTTATGACGTTACTTGTTGGATAGTTCCGATTGATAGCTGCTACCTTGACGTAGTGGTCCGGCCTACATATCACAACTCAACGAGTTATGCTGGTAGAACGCTTGTTCCCTCGAGGTTATACCATGCCAGAAAGTTCTGTTGGATAGGTGTAAAATGAAAAGCAGTTACCATTGCAGTGTAAATTACTACACCATGATGGGGTCTGAGGGCGAAGTCGTACTGCTGCTAGCTGGATGGGGTGTGACAGCAATAAAGTGTTTCCCTTGGATGACCAGCAGTGCCACGCTGATGCTGCCTTCCCAACGGGCGACCGGGGGTTAGGAAAAGTCAGCCCAAAAAATTACAACCCCTATGCACCCACAGTCATCTGGTGCCTACAGTATGAGTTCTCTCTATCCGGTGTTAGAACGACCAAACCTATAAACAGCATCCTGCAAAACACCGTGTGTGACCGACCTCAAGCAGAAGTCCCATGGGCTCTGCGGCCACCTTAATCTTTTTCTCTTTCAGGTACCTTGAGAAGAACTGGCCTTCCACGGTGTGGACAGCAGGGAAATGTCAACCGCTTTCATGCTTCTGGTAGTACGCAAGACCTATTTAAACATAACCTATCCTCCTCAACTCTGTCTCATTCTTTGCCTCCACCTTCTGACACTAATATTAAACCTCTTATGCCTTACTTAACCTATCACTCTGCAACCATGACCAACAATCAAAGCCGTTGCATCTGCAATCCTAGTCTCCTAAGTCCCTGTCATCGATTCCTTGTCGAAGCTTTCAATGTCTGAACTCTGCCAAATCAGACAGCAAGCGTCGCTTGCCAAAACTCTGGAATCTCGAGTCAGGGATGTATGCTGTCTCTGAGACATGCATACAGGACCCGATTGTGGTTATTAAATTAGAAGCTGAGCCAACCGGGAAGGAGCTGCGGAATCCCCATGCCAACAAACCGACAAAGATGGTCGTCTATTGAAATTCTGTCCCGACAATCACTTGTTTTTGGCCGGCACCAACTTTAGGCATGAGGAAGAGACATTATATCATGTGGCATCCCCCGACTTCAAACCACCGATAGACACATAGTTCGCATTTCGATAAACCGTCGTTGGAGTGGATCGGTGGGAGATTGTCACTCTTTCTCGAATATCAGTGTGGACTCCCGTCGCGTACCAGCAGGCAGGGGTTTATGTATGTCTGCGCCTTGCTCTCCCCGAGAAACAGGAGACAGTGGGGTCTATCTGTGCTCGATCGGAAAATGAAGACACCAAATATGCATTTGGGGAGGAGTTAGCTAAGCATTTATGTGAACGTGATACCAATGCTGATCCCGAGGAAACCTGGTGTGATATTAAGTCTGCTATAGCAACAGCTGTAAAGAAAATTGGCAACCTACACCCGAAGGTTAGCCAACGTCATTGGATTTCTGCGTCGTCGTCTGAACTAATCGGTCCGAGGAGGCTGATTCTAGCTGACTGGCTCTGACCACGATGAAGGGCGAAAGCAGCTCAAACGCAAGTTAACCGAGAGCCTTCACAATAACCGCCAGGGGTGGTAGATAGTAATGAATCAGTGTTGGGTAGTACTCAGCAACTATTTAGTCTTACTAAAGATCCCGGTAAGAAGAAGATGGTTAGTGAAAACATCACCGAAAATATGGGACGCTCATAATCTCCCAGGACTAGCTGCTAGAACTTTGGGAAGAACAATTTGAAGCACAGTTCAGCTAGCCCTCAGCAATGCTTAAGTTGTCCAACATCCAGCCTGAACCTGAATGGGATGTCGGTCCTCCAACTCTCCTTGAAGTTCAGAAGGCTGTATCAAACCTCAAATAACGCAAGTCAGCCTAACTCAAAATTTTCAAGGATGGAGGTAGAAGATTGCTAATTAAGTTGACGGAGGTACTAGATGTGTATGGGAATCGGAGGTAGTGCTGTCAGACTGGTGTACTTTACTAGTCATCCCAGTCTATAAGAAGGGAGAGAAGACTTCCTGCAACAAGCATAGACGAATTAGTTCGGTATAACTAGGGCTCGAGAAAACCAGGCAGGTTTTGAACTGAGCTGGAGGAAGGTGCATCGATCATATCCTTATCCTTTGACAGGCTCCGAAACAAGCATAGCTGCCGGCGGTCGACACGCCATGTTTCTTGACCTGAAAGCGGCTTTTGACTCTGTTGACCATGAGGTGTTGTGGCAATATCTGACTGTGAAGGGAGTATCGAACAAGTATATAATGCTTATCAAAGCTGTCAACTCAAACTCACGTAGCCTTCTAAGGGATTATAGAGAGTTTTCATATGAATTGACTACAACTAGTGTTCACTATTAAACTTCGTCATTGACATACTAATGGATAAAACTTTAGGTACGTCTGACTTCACAGGGTTTAACTCGCTCCTTGGAGGTCCTCTACTTGACTTGGAGTATGTAGACGATATCGTGCTGCCGGGTAAACGCGTCACCAACCGACTTGCTTGTCTTTCCTAGCACCCCTCTCCTGACCTCAACATTGCTCACCTGGTGATCCCACCAAACCAGAGCAACGTTACGAAGATATCTATGGTCAAAGCTCTGCAACCACTACGTGTCTTCTACTTTTAGCGGCCACGTCTCATATGTAAAACAGGTCAGAACGAACTACAGCGCAGTAAACTCGTCCTTTAATAACGTCTTGCTAGTCGGCGCCACAGACGATGCAAGTTGAAAAACGTCCAATAGGCCTTTTGTATCCGAGCTTAGCTTTCGTCAGGAACCAATGCGTTCGAGATGGTGCAACTCCCCGGGTAAGGTAGGTGGTTGACACATTCCACCACTTCACTCCCTTTCATTAAACTAGGAGTGCTTACATCTGACGAGCCCTGGAGCATCATCTTATATTTGACAGGTGGGAAACACACGCCAAACGTACTCTAATGACTTAAAATAATGTCTTTCATGCAACCAGTAATAATTTAAGTGCAAAGTTGTCAGGTGACACACAAACGGCGATAGTGTGATATGTAGGCTAATGTGGTCTTGAGGAAAAGATGTGAGCAACTGTTTCTACGATTTCACTCTATCATAAGCAGAAATACTCTGTTCAAATATACTGAAGAATACTTAACGTCGTTCTTATCACGTGTGTGATTGATCTAGAAGTAGTTACATGACGCTGTCTTTTTCATAGTTCTTTTGATATATCTCTATAGTGGTATATCTGTGTTGCATATGAATTTATTTTCTGTGTCCTACTTTGTGTGTATAGCTTGCTGATCATGAATCTTATCCATACTCTCAAGGCGTTAATCTAATTGCACTGGTTTATTTATTTGGATAAACTTTTTTGTAGGTTGGTGAAGTGACTGCCCTTCCTTTGCCTATGGCCTGTACACTAACTCATGTCGAAGCAAATAATATGTATTACTTTACTGTAAGATCAGTTGATCGACTGCTTCGATATAGCTCTTGGTCGAATATCGTAAATGCTTATGTTAGTTGAAAGACGAAACACGAATACCGAGATATAATGCCGGAGCACTTGTGCGTACCACTATTTTTCTTACTTTCAGTCTTTTTTTCTTTTCTTTAAACATAATTTAGCAATGTTTTTGGGATGCATCCTACTACTGTAACATGCGTGTACAGTTTTTATCCATGTCAAGATGTATTTGTTTTTATCGCTTTTTTTTAATCTTCGATGATTGTAGTTTTAATCCTTCATGTTTTTATCACTTTAATGATTTGTGTAAATTGACGTCTCTTGTTTTAAACTATTCACGTGGAATTATTTACTATTATTACGATTATATTTGTATATTTCTATATTCTGTGTCTTAGAGTAAGTGCTCGTCAGATATTACAAATTTAACTTTCAACAACCAAAGGGGCTTATTTAGCAATATGATTTTATGCTGTTAGATATTTCAATTGTATAGTAAAATCTAGGATATTATTCCCGATTTTGATGCTTGTTTTTCGCATACTTCGTATTATTTATCATAATAACTATACTGAGAAGACCATAGTTTTCTTGTTTTTTTTGTAATGTTTCATTGAAATTCCAAGCCTAACTTAATTCAAAGATGTGAAAAAGAGTATATATGTGTTCTGTTTTGCCCACACATCACTGTAATCACTCAAACCTTCAAATACTTACTGCATTAACTCAAACTATGTTATACTAACACGAATTGCAGCTAGATCCGTATTGTATGTACACCAAATCCCACTGTCCACATTCAGGATGAGTGGTGGTTGTGAGTTAGGTTAGTAAGGGTGTACGAAACGGTTACTTCCTTCATAATTAGGTAGCTGAATAGCGCTGACCAATTATTTGTACTAAAAATTATGTACACAGTCATATATCTCAAGAGGACTTTTAATTCCGATTACTTTTTTCCCTAATGATATTCAACTTGAGAAGGATTGTGTTGATTATAGCACTGCATCGTCTTTCCCAGTCCCATCAGACTTTGATTGGCTTCTGCGCAAAAAGTTATCGACTGAAGAAGTAGTTTTTGTGTAGATGCATTTGGTATAGATGAATCAAATAATCTCTAAATGATATTATTAAGAGAGGGGAAATCCTACAGCCTACCTTGTGATCATGAGCTAATTACTTTGGGGAAATGAGGTTATGAAAGTTACAGGGATAAGTTCAACGAGTGCACACTAGATACCCTACGGGTTTCAAAGACCCCTCCAGATTTGATAGTGAACAGTGACGTTTGTGCGTGTCGTTTTGTTGCTCTTTGAAGCCTAATTTACTTCACTCATATTTCTAAAGTATGCATATCTTTTATCTATTCCAACCGACTATCGAACTACTTTCCGATCAGTGAATATGTGGCGGGTGTAAGCTCCCCGAAATCAGTCATCTTATCAGGGTGGCAGCACGGCATTTTTTGCAGGCGAACTGGTCGTTGATTCTCTTTATAGCAGCACTGAGTTAGATGGATAATTTGCTTTTGTGTATTCGACAGTATCACAGCCAATAAGCGAGGTTCCCATAGTTCGAAGAATCGGTTTACTCATTGTAGATTTGGTTCACTGTTTAGAGCCACTTTAAGCATACTAGTGTAAGGTGCTGTATTATCAAACACGATGGGTTCTTCCCTATCGTCAATCGTCAGTGCTATACTTCAGGTATCGAATTTTAGTAAAAGAACCTTGCTTGGTGGTGCTATTGTCAATCTGCGCAGTATCTAGCTGCCTAACGAGGCTGGAAATGTCTAGAGTCAATCGGTGCGCTGGAAATCCATAAAATCGGTGATGAACTTCCAGCAAATGGTCAAAGCATGTAAGTTACCTGTAAATCCAGGTACCTTTTGAATATGTTCCGTACACGTTTT